GGTTCCAGTTTTGTCTCTACAGTCCCGTCTCTACTGTGGGGATACAGGGCACTTTTTTTTAACTTGCCCCAGAAGACGCAATTGGAGATATTCTCCTCCAACCCACACAGTGGCCGCTTTGGACTCTGGTTGAGCTCATACTATTCTGCCAGTTTCCCTTCAGCTACCAGAAAAGACTCTTCCTGTTTCTGCTATTGTGGATTCTGGGGTCTGTAGCTGTTTTGTGGACTCCTCGTTTGCTGCCCAGCATGAGTTACCTCTCTGTGCCAAGAAGAGTAGTTTCTCAATCCATCTGGCAGATGGCTCCAACATTAAATCTGGGCCTGTCACTCTAGAGACTGCACCTATCCTATGTTCTACAACCTCAGGACACTGTGAGTTCTTATGTCTGGATGTTATCACTTCTCCTTTGTTTCCAATCCAGGGGCGGACTGACCATTTGGAAACTCGGGCACTGCCCGAGGGCCCGGGGTCAGTAGGGGGCCCCATGAGATGCCCCTGGTACCTTTATCATAGGCTTTTTTGAGTTTGGACTCAGGGGTCCCATGATCCCCTATTGCCCGGGGGCCCCATGAGTTGTCAGTTTGCCACTGTTCCAATCATATTGGGTCAGCCATGGTTGAAGGCTCATAATCCCTGCATTGACTGGTCCACTGGGGAAGTGACTTTTCAATCTAGTTACTGCAAGAAGTTCTGTCTCCCTGCAGCACCTAAACCAGGAGGACCACTCCTCAATGTCAATATAGACTCTGAAGCCGCTAAACTGGTACCCGCAGTTTAACATGAGTACCTTGATGTCTTTAATAAAAAGAACGCTGACTCTCCCTCCTCATAGACCATACGACTGCCCTATTGAGCTGTTACCAGGAGCTGAAATTCCCTTTGGACAAATTTATCCGCTTTCTGAACTAGAATTGGAGGAGCTGCGTAAATACATTGATGAAAATCTTGACAAGGGGTCTCTCAGGCCCTCTACCTCATGAGCTGGGGCTGGTATTTTCATCTTGGAAAAAAAGGACAAGACACTTCGACCATGTGTGGACTACCGATATCTTAATAAAATAACCATTAAAAAACCAATACCCCTTGCCACTCATTCCAGAACTATTCCAAAGACTGCGAGATGCACGAGTATTCTCCAAGCTGGACCTGAGGGGAGCCTACAATTTAATTAGAATCAAGGAAGGTGACGAGTGGAAAACAGCCTTCCAGACCCGCTTTGGGCACTTTGAATACCTTCTGATGCCCTTTGGTCTCTGTAACGCACCAGCCACTTTTCAGCACTTGGTGAATGACATCTTTCGGGACTTCCTGGACTTATTCATTATTGTCTACTTAGATGACATTCTCATTTTTTCTGCTTCACTAGAGATCCATCGGGTCCATGTAAAAAGAGTGTTAAGCAAGCTAAGAGAACACCACCTTTATGCAAAACCTAAAAAATGTGGATTTGAAGACTGTCCATTAATTTTTTGGGACTTATTATCTCTGCAGATAGAATTGCCATGGATCCTCAGAAGGTGTCTGCAATACTTGATTGGCCGGCCCCCACTGAAAAGAGAGCAGTGCAACAGTTTGTGGGGTTTGCCAATTTTTACAGAAAGTTCATTAAAGATTTTTCAGGTATCATTTCCCCAATAATGCAGCTGACAAAACAACGGACAGTTTTTTCCTGAACTTTAGAGGCTCAAGCTGCTTTTTTAAGACTGAAGGGTCTCTTTACATCTGCACCCATCCTTAAACATCCAGAGCCTGCATTGCCATATGTCCTGGAGGTGGACGCTTCTGAGAATGCCGTGGGGGCCATACTGTCACAACGACAGGGAACTAAGTCCTTACTCCATCCTGTCGCCTTTTTCTCAAGGAAGTTAAGTTCCCCGGAGAGGAACTAAGATGTAGGCGATTGGGAGCTACTTGCCATTAAATCAGCTTTGGAGGAATGGTGTTACTTGCTGGAAGGAGCAGCACATTCTGTTCTTGTGTTCACAGATCATAAGAACCTTGAATACTTAAAGGTAGCTAAACGGCTAAGACCCTGCCAAGCCAGATGGGCACTTTTCTTCTCTAGGTTTAATTTCCATATTACATATCGGCCTGGGTCAAAAAATGGAAAGCCTGATGCCCTTTCTCGTATGTTTCAAGATACTGGACAGCACTATAGCCCAGGCTGCAGGCAGGAGGTCCAGTTTCCTGCCCAGAATCAGTGTCTGCTAGGCCAGAAGAGGGCTCAGCCCAGAAGTCAAGGCTCAGAAAAAGCAAGGGACACGCGCCTCTACAAACCGGGCCACAAATTCAAGAGAAGCTAGAGAGGAAGCCAGTCATCTTTTCAGAAGTCCTCCAGGGGCTCAACCTCTGGAGGTTGTGAGGCCACAAAGTCCTTTTGAGATTAGACACGCTCAGGCAGACCAGGTTGGGGCATGCCTTTTCTATTTTCGGCATGTCTGGGCGGCTTCAATCCGGCCCGTCAGCACAGTATCTTCAGGGTATGCTTGGGCATTCAAGAGCCCTCCTCATCTCAAGTTCACCCCTATGGCCCTTCCACATTCTGGAGAAAGGAGGGAGGAAGATCCTGCTGTCCTGTGTGGAACTCTCTACTGGCACAGGGTGCTGTTATGCTTGTTCTGGAGGGTGAAGAATGCAGGGCATGTATTCGCCCCTCTTTTTGGTCCAGAAAAGAAACGAGTTCTGGAAGCCAGTCATAGATCTCACCCATCTAAACTCCTTTATCAGGAAGTAAAGATGGAGATGCTGTTCACAATTCAAACAGCAAATCAAACAGGTGACTGGCTCCTGTCTATAGATCTGAAGGACGCCTACTGCCTTCATGTGCCCATTGCAAGAGATTTCCAGAGGTTTGCTGTGGACCAATGGCAGTCATGGTCCTGATCAGAACCAGAGGCATTCGCCTGCACCATTACCTAGTCGACATGCTCCTACTATCCCAGGACAGAGAACAGCTGCTACAGCACAGGGCTGATGTCATCTCGACCCTTCTTGAGTTCGGGTGGTTGCTGAACATGGAGAAGAGCCAGTTGGAGCCCAAGCAGTCTCTAATATTCCTCAGGGCTCATTTCGACATGGTCAGCGCCACCATCTCTCTGCCCTTGGAGAAGATTCCAGTGATTCAGAGCCAAATACTACCTGCCCTGTCTTCCTCACATCTTCGGGCCCTCCAGTGCCTGACAATCATTGGCACCATGGTGTCCGCAGCACTGATGGTGAAGTGGGTACAGTGGAGAATTCGACCCTTCCAGAAAGACTTTCTTCAACAGTGGAACCCAGGCAACATGGGCTAGGTCCATGAAGGAGTGCCTTCCTTGGTGGCTGCAACAGAAAAATCTGCTCATTTGTCACTCAATTGCCCCCTTCCCCTGGGTCACAATCACGATGGATGCCAGAAACTACGGATGGGGCACTCTCTGCCAGTCAGAGATAGCTCAGGGCAGATGGAGCTTTCCCTCCCACAGGTTGGGGTTGAATGCCCTGCAATTGCGAGCGGCATTCTGTGCCCTATGAGCCTTCCAGCACCTAACACAGGGGAAATCAGTCTTCCTGAGGTCTGACAATACAACAGCAGTATCCTACATAAGGAGACAGGGCGGGATCCACAGCCTGTCCCTCTTGCAAGAGGTAGAGCCAATCATGACCTGACTCAGAGAAACCTGTCCAATATATCGGCAGTATACGTCCCTGGAGTCCAGAACTTGCAAGTAGACTTCCTATCCAGGGCTCAATTAGACAACAATGAGTGGTCTCTTGACATGGAAGTTTTCAAGTACTGATCCTCGGGATCAGTCCAGAAGTCGACCTGTTTGCCCTCCCATGCAACTGCAAACTAGGGATGTACTACACCAAGAATCGCTGTCCCCAGGCCTTTGGGGTGGATGCTCTGACGAATCAGTGGAGATGTCAGGAATCTAGGAATGACCAGAAAGGTGTGGACTGACACAGGGAAACACAGGTCTCAGGTACAGTATAATACAGTTTATTATTAGCCACCCAGATATATATATATATATATATATAAACACACAGTGAGCAAACCAACCTTCCACTAATCTTAGGAGGTGCAGGAATACAGGCGTAGTCAGGGCTGGAGAGGTGGAACGGTCAGGCCGGCCGTAGGGTTCTGTAATGACCGTTTGGTGGTACCTCTAGCGGTCCCCAGGACAGGATTCCCCAGGGCGCGGAGTCTAAGTCCCAGTCTGCTTATTTTCCAGGGCCCCTGATGGTGGGGATGGACTTGGAGCAGACAGGAACCAGGTCGCGGCCCCTGAGTACACCTGCTAGTGGTAGAGGGATCCGCCAGAGGTATGTGCAGGTAGAAAGCCTGATGTGAAGAGGCAGAAGGTGTGAGCAGGGACGGCTGGATCCGTGCAGGATGGATGGATGGCAGAGTAGTTAGCGTGGTCAGACGGGCCAGGTCAGCAATGTGCGGGCAGCAAGGTACCAAAGGAGCAGGCAGAGAATCGTCAGGGTCACAAGCCAAGTTCAGTAACTCACGGGCAGCGTGGTACAGGGGATCAGGCAGAAGGATTGTCAGGCAAGCCAGGGGTTCAACAGGAGACGGTCAGCAGAGGTCAGGATCAAGCAGGGTCAGCAACGAAGCAGGAACACAGGATACCAGGTACAGAGGCTCATGGGAAAACATACACCAAGGCCCAGACTGCAGGTCTGGCCATCCCTTAAATACGCCTTCTGCAATCAGCCCCAGGTTTGGCTGATTGTAGAAGTGAGCTTCTGGCTGCTGAGAGCACCCGCTGGTCAGCCCTGGTACTGCAGCCCACACGGCAGGTGAGTCCCACCACCAGTGCTGAGTCCATTCCTGACAGTACCCCCCCCCTCAAGAAGCGGACCTCAGGACGCTCCAAACAGTCCTTAGTGGGCCAAATGTTCCACCGCCCGGGTCAGGTAACTGGCTGAATATCCTACTGCCGGAGTAAACCGGCTGGCTAGGTTTCCTGCTGGTAGACTTCTCTTTGTGTAGGAGAACCCAGGAAGGCAGGTCAATAGACACAGGATTTCCAGGAGCAGGCTGAGAATCAGTTATTGGCCAGTTTAGCTGGACATCAGGGGCTGGCATGTCGGGCTGTGCAGCGGGCAGAGGCACGTCAGCGGGCACCGAGTCATCTGGCACGACAGCGGGCACCGAGTCACCGGGCACGTCAGCGGGCACTGAGCCATCTAGCAGAACCGCGGGCACAGAGTCACCTGGCAAGTCAGCGGGCACCGAGTCACCGGGCACCGAGCCATCTAGCAGAACAGCGGGTACCGGGTCACTAAGCTCGACAGCAGGCACCAAATTAACTGGCACAACAGTGGGCACTGAATCAACTGGCACAACAGTGGGCACCAAGTCATCTGGTACGACAGCGGGCACCAAGTCATCTGGCACAACAGCGGGCACTGAGTCACCTGGCACCGAGCCATCTAGCAGAACCGCGGGCACAGAGTCACCTGGCAAGTCAGCGGGCACCGAGTCATCAGGCATCGGGTCATGTGGCTCAACAGCAGGCATTGGGTCCTCAGGCATCAGGTCATCTGGCTCGACAGCGGGCACCGAGTCAACTGGTACGACAGCGGGCACCGAGTCACCGGGCATGTCAGCGGGCACCGAGCCATCTAGCAGAACCGTGGGTACCGGGTCACCAAGCTCGACAGCGGGCACCGAGTCATCAGGCATCGGGTCATGTGGCTCAACAGCGGGCATTGGGTCCTCAGGCATCAGGTCATCTGGCTCGAGAGCGGGCACCGAGTCAACTGGCACGACAGCAGGCACCGAATCATCAGGCATCAAGTCATCTGGCTCGACAGCGGGCACCGAGTCAACTGGCACCGAGTCAACTGGCACCGAGTCAACTGGCACGACAGTGGGCACCGAGTCAACTGGCACGACAGTGGGAACCGAGTCAACTGGCACCGAGTCAACTGGTACGACAGTGGGCACCAAGTCAACTGGCTGAACCATGGAAGGCGGGTTCTCAGACGACAGGCTGACCGGTTTGGATACTGGCAGGATGGACAGCGAGTGGGAGCAGGGGACTGACATGTGGTAGATAGCAGGGTATACTGGGCTGTCACTGGGGGTGCTGTTGGGAATGCAGGAAGAGAGCTTTGAACAGAGGAATGATGAGAAGCAGGACTGGTTTGTTGCAAGCTGACTGAGGCTAGCTGTAACAAGTCTGACCATGTCTGCAGTAAGGGTTGGACAACGCTCAGCTTACACAAGGCCTGTCTGGTCGAAGATTGCACTGCGTTTATACACTTCTTTAGCACATGTGGTGAACATGCTGAATAATGCTCCAAGAAGCAATCCGGATCATCCTCCAACAACCATACCAGTGATATTATTTGACTCACCCTGAATGGAGGAAGGAATTCATCCCTGCTTTCAGGGGTACTAGATGAAGCCAACTCAACACAAGCCTGAATCAATGGTTGCACCTCAGAGAGCTCTAGGTCCTGACCTACTAGGGAATGAGCGACCCGTATGCACCCTAGCAGCTGATCCCTGGTATACTCCCGCAGAGTCTGATAGGCATATTCTCTGTCATCAAAGACCAGCATAGACAAATATATAACCTCATCAGGATGCATCCTTCACAACAAGTCAAGATGGCTTCCCTGTGCAGCCACTTCTGGTCAGGATAGGCCTTGGTGTGATGTCAGGAATCTAGGAATGACCAGAAAGGTGTGGACTGACACAGGGAAACGCAGGTCTCAGGTACAGTATAATACAGTTTATTATTAGCCACCCAGATATATATATATATATATATATATATATATAAACGCACAGTGAGCAAACCAACCTTCCACTAATCTTAGGAGGTGCAGGAATACAGGCGTAGTCAGGGCTGGAGAGGTGGAACGGTCAGGCCGGCCGTAGGGTTCTGTAATGACCGTTTGGTGGTACCTCTAGCGGTCCCCAGGACAGGATTCCCCAGGGCGCGGAGTCTAAGTCCCAGTCTGCTTATTCACCAGGGCCCCTGATGGTGGGGATGGACTTGGAGCAGACAGACCAGGTCGCGGCCCCTGAGTACACCTGCTAGTGGTAGAGGGATCCGCCAGAGGTATGTGCAGGTAGAAAGCCTGATGTGAAGAGGCAGAAGGTGTGAGCAGGGACGGCTGGATCCGTGCAGGATGGATGGATGGCAGAGTAGTTAGCGTGGTCAGACGGGCCAGGTCAGCAATGTGCGGGCAGCAAGGTACCAAAGGAGCAGGCAGAGAATCGTCAGGGTCACAAGCCGGGTTCAGTAACTCACGGGCAGCGTGGTACAGGGGATCAGGCAGAAGGATGGTCAGGCAAGCCAGGGGTTCAACAGGAGACGGTCAGCAGAGGTCAGGATCAAGCAGGGTCAGCAACGAAGCAGGAACACAGGATACCAGGTACAGAGGCTCATGGGAAAACATACACCAAGGCCCAGACTGCAGGTCTGGCCATCCCTTAAATACGCCTTCTGCAATCAGCCCCAGGTTTGGCTGATTGCAGAAGTGAGCTTCTGGCTGCTGAGAGCACCCGCTGGTCAGCCCTGGTACTGCAGCCCACACGGCAGGTGAGTCCCACCACCAGTGCTGAGTCCATTCCTGACAGGAGGCTTCATACAGTCTATGCTTTTCCCCTGGTCCCTGTCATTTTCAGCATTCTTCAGAGGCTCAGAGCAGAGGCAGTAGAGGTAGTGGCTGTAATTCCGTACTGGCCAAGCAGACCATGCTTTCCCTTACTGGCGCAGCTCAGATTTCGAGATCAAGTTCCTCTCCCTCTCAAGCCAGACCTGCTGTCACAGGTGGCCATTCTTTACCCTTTCCCAGCCCGGCTTCATCTAATGGTCTTGTTCTTGAGAGGGGGAGTGTTATGAACCACCTAGCAGGGCCTCTAGCAGTCCACAGGACAGGATTCCCCAGGGCGCGGAGTCTAAGCCCCAGTCTGCTTGTTCACCAGAGCCCCTGATGGTGGGGATGGGCTTGGAGCAGACAAGGACCAGGTCGCGACCCCTGGGTACCCCCGTCTGTGGCAGCAGCAGGACCCGCCAGAGGTATATGCAGGTAGAGAGCCTGATGTGAAGAGGTGGAAGACTGGATCCGAGCAGGATGGATGGATGGCAGAGTAGTAAGCGTGGTCAACGAGCCGGGTCAGTAACAGTGGGATCAGCATAGTACAAGGCGGCAGGCGGAAGAATAGTCAGCTCACTTGCAGGGGTCGGCAACAGGAGTTCAGATCAGGTATGGAATATGCAGAAGAGAAGTCAGACTAGCCAGGGGATCAGAGCAGGAGAAGTCAGCGGAGGTCAGGTTCAGGCAGGGTCAGCAACAAATCTTTAGGATCACAGGAACACAGGAACACGGAGAAAAGACCATACAGCAATGGGTGTTAGTGCAGGGCAGGTTTAAATAGTGCGCCCTGCCCTGCCATTGGTGCCGGGCGAGCGGCCTCGATCGCGAGTGCGCATGCGCGGCCACCGCCGCCATACAGGTCTCAGAGTCCGTCGGATCGCATGCGCGGTGTCACTTGCAGCCGCGATCCCTGACATTGCCCCCCCCCCCTACGGGCATCCTCCGGATGCCCAACCGGTTTCTCCTCCGTGGTTGGTTGCGATAGAACTCCCGAACCAGTCTAGGGGCATGGACATTTTGGGCCGGTTCCCACAAATTCTCTTCAGGGCCATAGCCCTTCCACTTAATTAGGAACTGTGTCTGACCGCCTCTTTTCCTGCAATCGATGATTGCCTCAACCTCGAATTCTTCCTGTTCGTTAATGGTTATAGGCTCAGGAGGCCTGGACCTTCGGTCCGGGAAGGGATCTGGCGTTGCTGGCTTCAGTAACGACACATGAAACACTGGGTGAATCTTGAAGTTTCCTGGGAGTGCCAGCTCATATGCCACCTCATTGATCCTCCGTTTCACCCGGAATGGGCCCATAAATTTTGGCCCAACTTCTTCGAGGGGCAAGACATCCTCAAATTGGTAGTAGCTAGCCAAACCTGGTCTCCTGGTTGCAAGCTCAATTCACCTCTTCTTTTCCTGTCGAAGGCCCTCTTACTGTCTTCTTGGGCCTTTGACATGGCTTCTTGAAGTACCTTGTTATTGGTGGAAAAAAAATCTAGCATGTTCTGTGTAGCCGGGACCGGGCTTTCCGGAATTAGGTCAGGTAAAAATGTGGGGTGAAACCCGTAATTAGCGAAGAAGGGGGATTGCCCCGTAGCAGAATGCTTCGCGTTATTATACGCGAACTCCGCTAATGGCAAGAGTGCCAGCCAGTCGTCTTGGAGGAAAGACGTGTAACATCGCAAGTACTGTTCCAGCGTCTGGTTTGTCCTTTCTGTCTGCCCATTCGTCTGAGGGTGGTAGGCCGATGAAAGGGACAGCTCGATTCCCAGAACCTCGCATAATGCTTTCCAGACCTTTGACGTAAATTGGACCCCTCGATCCGAGACAATGTCTTCTGGCACACCATGCAGTTTCACTACTTCCTTTACGAAAATCTGTGCTGTTTCCATAGCTGAGGGTGTATTTTTTAGCGGCAGGAAATGGGCCATCTTCGACAACCGATCTACAATTACGAAAATCACCGAATGATCTTGAGATAGTGGGAGCTCCACTATAAAATCCATTGAGATCATCTGCCATGGCCGATCCGGTATAGGCAATGGTCGTAGTAGACCCCAGGCCTTATTTCTGGTGGGCTTGTTTCTCTGATACGTGGCACAGGTTCTCACATATAGTTCACAGTCTTTCGCCATGTTTGGCCACCAGAACGTCCGCTGGAGTAACTCTAGAGTCTTCGCGTTTCCAAAATGACCTGCTAGAGGATGATCATGGCAGTGCCCCAGTACTAAGGTTCGGATCTCCTCAGGTACAATGATTCGCCCTTCTTTCCAACAGAGACCCTACTTAATCTGTAGAGATACCCCAGGTGGGCTTGGCATTCCTATGGATGCGGTTTGAAGCCTGGAGCGTAGCTCTGACTGGAGAGCGAGGAAGTTTCCTGTGGACAGGCTGGTGTCTGGTCGAGGAACTTCTTCCTGGGTCTTCAAACATACGTGAGAGAGCGTCTGGCTTTGTATTCTTGGACCCGGGTCGGTACGTGATGTGGAACGCGAATCTGGCGAAGAAGAGTGCCCATCTTGCTTGGCGTGGTCTCAGACGTTTGGCTGTCCTCAGATATTCCAGATTCTTGTGGTCAGTAAAAATCAAGATTGGATGTAGGGCCCCTTCCAGTAGATACCTCCACTCCTCCAGCACTGTCTTGATAGCCAGAAGCTCCCGGTCGCCAATATCATAATTTCTCTCTGCAGACGTCAACTTCCTAGAGAAAAATGCTACCGGGTGCATAATTTCCTTGGTACCCTTCCGTTGGGACAGGATGGCCCCAACTGCGTTCTCCGAAGCGTCCACTTCCAAAATGTACGGCAGGGAGGAGTCAGGATGGCTAAGGATAGGGGCAGTAGTAAACAGTTTCTTCAACGTCTCAAATGCTGCTTGAGCCTCGGGCGTCCACCGAAAACGGGTTCCCTGTTTGGTGAGCTGCGTAATGGGAGACACGAGGCCTGAAAAGTTCTTAATGAACTTTCGGTAGAAATTGGCAAATCCT